GAGTGGAAGGAGCAAGGTGAGGCTGTGAAATCAGTACATAAGATGTGTAGTTGATGCCATGGATATGATGAGGACCATTAGAGAGAACATGTAGTGAAGAGACGAGAATGAAACTGGAGCACTGGTTGGCAATTAGAAAAGTGTGGGTGACTTTAGAGAGCAGTTTGAGTGTAGTACTGGGAGTGGAAGTCACATGGCAGTAGTCACATGGCAGTGGACTGAGGGTTAATTAAGCATTCAAGGACACAGTGGCTTTTATCACCAATTATTTTTTTTTGTTTGCACATTAGAATTACCTGTGAAGGTTTTGGAAAGCGTATTGGTGCCCAGGTCCCATCCCTAAATATTCTGAGTTAATTAATCTTGTGTAGGGCCCAGGAATCAGTATTTTTTAAAAGCTCCCCCAATTAATACTTATCGGCAGCCAGAATTAAGGACCACTGCTCTTGACTATTCTTTCAAGAAGTGAGGATAAACCCCAGTAGCTAGCAAGAATATGATGTGATGGTTAAAATCACAGATAAAAAGAGAAGTACAAAACTGTTAAAAGATTAATATGGATGTGGGGCACAACAGCACTTGTACACCACTGCTGGGTGGGTAACTTGGCCCAGCCATTCTGTAGAGCAAATTTGGGAAATTAACTCTTAGGCACTAACCCTGGAGTCCCACCACTGAATATGCATTCCCGGGAAATCCTCCACCATGTCCATTAGGAACATGCACTACCATGATCCATGACAGCCTGGATGGGGCAGGAAGAATTATAGATAATCCAGGTGGCCTGCACTTGGAGAGTGGATTAGGGAAAATTAGGTAGACACATCCCATAGAGTATTATGCAGGCATCAAAAGCAATAGATTAGATACAGATGAATCAACATGAATGGGTCTTAAAAATATAATGCTTAGTAAAAATAGAAAACAATAAGAAATAGGACACAATTTCATTTACATAAAAATATACAGCAACAATAGATATTTTGGAAAAAACACACTCAAATAAACAATATACTAACCCATTAAAATGATTGCCTATTCATGAGAAGAGAAAAGAGTGGAATATGGGGATGAGAGAGAAGAGATTTTATTTGAAAAGTGATTCAAGGAACAATGAGATAGGGTGGAATCTTAAATGGGAAGTAAGGTCAGGGGAAGGTTGTGTGTGTGTTTTAATAGAATGAACAAGAGTTGTAAATGTGTAGACGAAATGGAAGTCTTCAATGGAGTCTTCTCCTTTCCATTTATTTATTCAAAGTGTTGGTAATAACCGCCAGGTTTTCAGTTAGCAGCCAAATGCTTAACGGTGGCATCACAAGGTCTTCATTTTTTTTTTTTCCTCATTCCTAAAACAGTGCATAGTCCTTACAGATATACCAGAAAACTGACAAGCAAAACTAACAGACATCCATAAGCCCACTCCCTCAGAGGTACTATCTAGTTCCGTTATTAGAAACTGTTGCAAAATTAAATATTAAATTAAACATACTCTGTTGTAACCTGAAGCTTTTTTTTGCACTGAACATTGAGGATGTATTGTGACCTTCTTATATATCCAAAGACATTTCTGCAACTGCATCCTGAATGGCTCCATAGTGTTCCATTCATTCTACAGATGCTCCAACTCAGCCACCCCACTTCTGTTGGGCATCACGTTTCTAATTTTTGCTACCTGCTGCTTTGCAGTGAGCAAAAATGGCACTTACTTTTTTTTTTTTTTTTTAATTGTGATTTGGGTGAAAGTTTATAGAGCAAATTCACTTTCCATACGGCAGCTCACATACACTTTGTCTCGTGACATTGACTACACTTTACCACAATGCAACAGCTGCCCCTCCACCTTCCTCCCCATAGTTACCTCTTCCCTGTGTCCTTCCCTCCATGCACTTCTGCTCCCTGAGCTGTCTTCCTGTGCATACACAGCCCTTCTAGTCCCCGATGATTGTTTTCTCCAAGGAGTGTATCTACTTAATGTAAATGTTCAGCTCATATGCCTATCTTTTGTTTGGCTAGAAGCCACAGGAGTGGGTTCAATTTCAGACCTGAAGGGCAGCTAGGGGCCATAGTCTCAGTGATTCCATCAGTCTCTATCAGACTATCAGACCAGCAAACCTGGTCCCTTTTTTTTTTTTTTTCCAAATGATACTTTTGAAGGCAATTTTATATCCTTCATTTGGCTCATTTTAAAAAGAGATTTAAAGATTGGATTTGAAATATTCTAATGAATTAAAAATTAATTCTGCATCACCTGTGGCTGGGCTCCAGATCCCCTGGGACTGTTCCAAGCCAGACATGAGTAGAGAATGAAGGAGCAGGGTCATTCCCCATTATTTGCACAAAGGCATTCTAGCAACTTGTCATTGTGCTAAAGCATAAGAAGGGGTCCCTGGTTTCTGTACTTTTAATCAATTGATGCACAATTAAATCACAACAACTATTACTGGAGCCAGCATGGGATGTGTGGATTACCTCACCTGTGGTTATGGTATGGCAGGTGGTGAAACAGGAGGCACCAAATTTTTAGAAAATTCTAAGAAATACTCTGTTTATGCCAGGGAGACTAAGTAGGTCCTTAGCTTTATACCCAGGACCAGATTTGCACATTGCTATAATGCTCAACGTGTTTTAGCAGAACTTCCAGACTAAGAAAGACCAGGAGGAAAGGCCTGGTGATCTACTTTTGAAAAATCAGCTAATGAAAACTTTCTGGATCACAATGGTCTGATCCCATTGTGCATGGGATCTCTATGAGTCAGCGGTCAACTCAACCATAAATAAGAACAGCAACAACCAGACTAGGAACTGAATAAGCAACCTGAAAAGGAAAGGACAGTATGATTTTCTGAGTACTTCCTATGTTACGCTACCTTCACCCCCACATTCCCTGAAATTAGTAGTTTTGAATATTTAACTTAATCCTTCCAGATGGTAGGTTTATGTCTGTTGTGTGCCTTTGAGTTTATTCCAGCTCATAGTGACCCTATAGGACAGAGTAGAACTCCCCTATAGGGATTTCCAAGGCTGCAATCTTTATAGAAACAGACTACCAGGTTTTTTCTCCTACGGAGGCTCTGCTGGGTTCAAACCACCAACCTTTCAGTTTGCAGCTGAGTAACCATTGCACCACCAGGGCTCCTTATTGGTAGGTTTAAGCAACAGCAATCCAGTTCCAGTGTTTATTCAGAGCGTGGTGGTTAAGAATTGGCCAGGCAGCTCTGCAGCCAGCATGTCAAGGTCCCTAAGAGGCAGCCTTGATGTTGGAAACAGCTACCTTCATGGCAGGAATGCATGAACATTCTCACCTCATTGTTGTTGTTGTTGTTGTTTGCCGTCGAGTCGGCCCCGACTCATAGCGACCCCTCCTTGGGTTTCCGAGGCAGTATCACTACGGAAGTAGGATTGCCCAACCTTCCTTCCGAGGAGTGGCTGGTGGGTTTGAACCGCCAGCCTTCTGGTGAGCAGTCAAGTGCCTTAGGCACTATGCTACCAGAGCATTTTCTATGTACAGTAGCAGAAAAAATGCACTTCTGTTTCTGCAAACCCATCCTTTGTTGTCAAGAAGATTTGAATAAACATTGCTGTTCCCAGGACCCATTTGGAAGCTCTCGAATGTATTCTCTAGCCTGTGTATACATTAACATATAACTGTATTCCAAATGAATTAGTGCCAGGCAGCTCCGGGCTTTTGGCAGACAAGGTAAGCCTCCATATGAGTTACAGTTGATAGGGCAAGAGAAGCTCAAGCCTTACAAAAATCCCTTCAGTAGCCCTGCTTAGAAATAGCAGTGTAGGCCATAGCTTAGTGTTTTGACAGCTTATATCAGCAGTTTTCTCAGCTGATATATTGATTGCAGTTTGGACTTCAGTCCTGCTGATCTAATAAAACATCACCGTCATAACAGAGAAAGTAAAAGGAGCGTCTGCGGTCCCAGCCACTCGGTGAAGGAGCTTCACAGAGCTACCATAAAATTCCTTCACTGTGGTATGGAAAATGAAGTAATCTGGACAAGTTGACTAATTATGTAAGGGTTTCTTCTTGTTATTATTTAATTCCTTCACCTGCCTACATGTTGTTTATTAACATGACTCTATGTTTTAACAAATATGCATTTGTTCAAAGGAATATACTGGTGTCTTCACAAATGTGGTAACAAACTTGCATCAGTATCCCAAACAGCCTCACAGCATGTCATAAACTGCAATACTCATGACGCTGCTCAACAAACCGGTTGCTGTTGAGTCGATTCCCAAGATGAGGCAGCTGTTATGTAATGTATTTTGAACCCCAGAGTTTGCAGCTTATTAACTGTGTCAGCATGACATTACCTGACCTCCCCAAGCTTCATTTTCCTCTTTTGTAGCATAGACAGCGACGCCTGCTTCCAAAGCTCATAATACTGTAATGTGCTAAAACACATGAAAATCTTCCCTATTGCCATCAAGTCACTTCCAACTCATGGCGACCCCATATGTCACAAGTAGAACTGCTCCATAGGCTGTTCGTGGCTGTAGTCTTTCCAGAAGCAGGTTGCCAGGCCTGTCTTCCATGGCACTGCTGGGTGGGTTCAAACAACCAGCCTTTTGGTTAGTAGTCAAGCATAAACTGCACTACCCAGGGACCCCATTATAATGCTAAATGGAGAAGGAAAAACACACACACAAAGATTTTGCAGCTGAAGCCTGGACTAAACTTTACCAAACCAAACCCATTGCCATCTAGTCAATTCTAATTCATAGTGACCTCTCCTTGGGTTTCCGAGGTGGTAAACCTTTACAGAAGTAGATTGCCCAGTCTGCCATCCACAGAGTGACTGGTGGGTGTGAACCGCCAACCTTCTGGTTAGCAGTGAAATGCCTTAGACACTGTGCCACCAGAGCTCCTTGAACTAAACTTTAAAACATATAAAACTCTTCTCATAATTCTGACTGGATAATTTGGACATTTTACAGTCAGCCAGCCTCTGATCCTACTCATCCTAAATCTCCTTTGATTTTCACAGCAATTGCTGACCATCCAGGAGGAACTGAACAACAAAAAGTCAGAATTGGAACAAGCAAAAGAAGAGCAGTCCCATACACAGGCATTAATTAAAGTTCTCCAGGAACAAGTAAGTGGCTGAAACTGCTCCAATTCCTGAGTAAATCCAAATGCCCTGAAGCACACCTCCCCCAGGCTTCACGTGTGCAGACATGACTGAAGATAACCTGCAGCATAATTAGCCTGAACCCTGTCAGAACTCCTCGCAATGTTGGTGTGGAGAATTGATAGTCTGCTTCCCGCCATCTCCATGTTCACTCCTGCACCTATTTAGACTGTCCCAGGCTTACAGCAATGTGCAAACATTTCTTCCAGAAGACAAATGAATTTTGATAAAGTTTTTGAATGTTAGCAATGTAGATATATTTCAAAGTAAACACCTGGCTTCCTCTTAAGCCTAATAGTGAGGAAAATGAGTTTAGCATAGCCCCTGCTACTCCTGCAGACATATGAATAAGAAGGACTGATTCATGATGACATTAAAAAAATATCTTCCCTGTGCATCAGGCACTTATCTAACCGTGGTGAGCAACAAACCTTTTATATGAAGTTTGTAAATCTGGTCGTTTCATTCTGGCTTTCTTTGATACTAAAGTGTGGCCTGACATTGATAAGTGGGTTTGAAGGCATTGTCTTTCAGTGGGGTAAGATGGATCACTTGGCAGCAGAGTGAAATCTAAGGCCTGCATCAATATGGCAGGAAATAGGAGGCCCTGTGAACTTGCCTGACTCTGGCCTCTGCTTGCAGCCAATGGCATGTAATAAATGGGGAAAAAGTCACAAACAATAACCCAGCCATTTTGGGGTACTCATATTTTAGGTTGTTTTAATTTTTTCTTTTTTTTTTTTACTCATGCACAGTAAACCAAAAACCAAACTCACTGCCGTCCAGTCGATTTCAACTCATAACAACCCTTCCTTGGGTTTCTGAGGCAGTATCTCTGCAGAAGTAGATTGCCCAGTCTTCCTTCCTAGGAGTGGCTAGTGGGTTTGAACTGCCAACCTTCTGGTCAACAGTCAGATGCCTTAGGTACCATACCACCAGAGCTCCTCATACACAGTAGTTGATTGAAAAAAAAAAAAAAAAGATAATTTATGCAGATATAACCTCAAAAAACAAACCAAGCCAAATGCACTGCCATCAAGTCTATTCTGACACATAGCACACACACCCCCATTGGGTTTCCAAGGCTGTAAATCTTTACAGAAGCAGACTGCCTTGTCTTTCTTCTGAGGAGCAGCTGGTGGGTTTGAACCACCAGCCTTTTGGTTAGCAGCCAAATCTCCTAACTACTACACTACCAGAGCTTCTTATAACCTCAAAAGTGATGTTAAAAAGTATGAAATGAAGACAGCATGGCCAAATTGACTGTGAATCGCTTTAATGAATGATTTTTATTTTTTAAAGGTTTGAACTAAAGAAAACGTAGATTTACTTATTTGCCCTAAAGTTTTAAGTGCTTATGATTTGTGAGGGATGTGAAGATGTTAGAAAGCTTATAAGCTATGTATACATTTGAAGGAAAATACTTGATAAAATTAATCATTATCTTTATATGATTTCATAGATTGATTGGCTTTTACTGCATCTGTGTGAGTTTCTCTTGCTTATTCATTGAACCCACCAGCCACTTCACAGGAGAAAGATATGGCAGTCTGCTTCTGTAAAGACTATTTTGTTTTAGGTGTTGCTCACTCAGTTCCTACCCACAGTGACCCTATGTTCAACAGAATGAAACGCTGCCCAGTCCTGCACTATCCTCACAATCCTTGCTAAGTTTGAGCTCATTGTTGCAGCCACTGTCAATCCATCACATTGAGGGTCTTCCTCTTTTTCACTGATGCTTTACTTTACCAAGCATGAGATCCTTCTCTACTGGTAGCATAGTGGCTAAGGCACTTGACTGCTAACCAGAAGACTGGCGATTCAAACCCACCAGCCACTCCTTGGAAGGAAAATGGGGCAATCTACTTCCGTAGTGATACTGCCTCGGAAACCCAAGGAGGGGTTGCTATGAGTCGGGTCCGACTTGATGGCACATAACAACAACAACAACTACAGGGACTGGTCCCTTCTGATAACATGTCCAGAGAAATGAGAAAAAGACTCACCATCCTTGCTTCTAAGGAGCATTCAGGCTGCAGTCCTTCCAGAACAGATTTGTTTGTTATTCTGGCAGTCCATGGTACTTTCAGTATTCTTTGCCAGCACCATAATTCAAAGGCATTAACTCCTCTTCTTTCTTTCTCATTCATTGTCCAGCTTTCACATGCATATGAAGAGATTGAAAATAGCATGGCTTGAGTTAGGTTCAGTTTAGTCTTCTAAGTGACCTCTTTGCTTCTTAACACTTTAAAGAGGTCTTTTGCAGCATATTTTCCCAGTGTAATACAATGTCTGACTTCTTGACTGCTTCCATGGGTGTTGGACAAGAAAAAAGAGGATTTTGTTTTAAAAAGTCCTTTTGTGCCCTTTGATGGCACTCCTGACACTCTGGTGCACTTTTGTGTTTCATATACTCTGCACATTGCTCAGGCTCCTGTGTATTTCATATGTATGCAGGCATCAGTGATGTATGTAACCCTGAAGAACACTGGGCCAGAAGTCTTTTTACTTAAAGTAAGTGTGATGTAAAAGCCCTGGTGACACAGTGGTTAAGCACTCAGCTGCCAACTGAAAGGTTGGCAGTTTAAACCCACCAGCTGTTCCACTGGAGAAAGATAAGGCAGTCTCTTCTGAAAAAATTTATAGCCTTGGAAACCATATGGGTCAGTTCTGCTCTGCTCTATAGAGTCACTGTGAGTTGGATTTGACTCGATGGCAATGAAATTCTGGTTTGAGTGATATCAATATGAGCCAAAATGTCCTTGGCCCACAAACATCTGTCCCTACTGTTTCTCATGTCACCATTTCTTGGGCAAAACCCCTCTCTTGGCATGAGCAATTATGCCTTTCTTGCTGAGAGTTTGAAATTGCCTAAAAAAGCTAAAGAAGCTTTTGTTTTATTATGCACAAATAGCCAAAAAGAACTAATTTTCTAAATCAAACATATTGGTGGTATGTGTTCATTTATTTTCTTTGAAACTTTATTTCCCACCATAAATATTTTATATTTGGCATAAAAAAGATGACTGAGGAGATGCCACTCCCTAAGCATCATACCAAAAAAACAAACCCCTGCTGTCGAGTCCCTTCTGATTCATAGCAGCCCCATAGGGCTGAATAGAACTGTCCCATATGGTTTCTAAGGCTGGAAATCTTTTCAGAAGCAGACTGCCTCATCTTTCTCCCAAGGAGTGCCTGGTGGATTTGAACTACCAACCTTTTGGTTAGTAGCCTAGTGTTTTAACCCTAGTGCCACCAGAGCTTCCTCAAGCATCATGAGCCATACTAACCAACAGCTGGAAGCTCGTTCACTCTTTCCCCTCACTCTCCATCTCCAAATCTCAGCTTTCAGTCAGGCTAGGATAAAATGGCAATTAAAGGTTTCCTGGAATCTTCTGACAACTGATTACTTCTAAGCCTTCTGAGAGAAAATAATGTTTCCAAAGGTTCAGTGTTCAAAATCTCATTTGAGAAATGGCTTTTCTTCTAATGCTTCAGTGGCCAAGGAGATGTCTTCCTGAAGCTTTCTCTGTGAAAAGAAGCAAATAAACTTCTCCTTTTAGGCCCCTAGAAACCATGTCAGTTATTCAGATACATTCTCAAGGAAGACATGTAAAGTAGCACTGCAGCATATTAAACAGCCAAGAATACATAATTCACGAATAATCGTTAGTACAACATCATTTGGCTGGTGGCAACTTGCAAACACGGCAGAGTTTAAATTAATACCAGTATGACGAGGAAATGAAATCATTTATTATTCTTAAGAACCAATTTTATACATTTTATGCCTATGGAACTGCTTTCTAATCTTATTATTTTAAAAAATAATGACCAGGACCCATTTATTTTTTGCCAACCATCAAGCTTCATAAAATATTGGTCTCAAACTGGTCTCAAAAAGGCTCATTAGAATTATATGCTCCATCTGGTTTTCCTCGTAGGGAGTTTTATAAAGTGCAATCTCAGATAAATCCAAGTTAACAAGATGATATATGCTTCCTGGATATGCTTGCTTATTTATTTATTTATTTATTGTTAAATTTTGCAGCTGAAAGGCACCAAGGAATTGGTCGAGACCAATGGCCACAGCCATGAAGACACAAATGTAAGTACTACAAACCTGGTATTTGCTTTTCTCATACAATGTTGGTCAGATACCCACGGGGTGTGGCACTTTTTAAATAGTATAACAGTAACCAGAGTCCCTGCATCTCAGTGGTTCATTAAGATTACTATGTACAGTTTAGCAACAAAAGGTGGCACTTAGCACTGCTATCGTTAGCTTAGGGCCCTGAGTGGCACAAAAGATTTCTGCTTGCCTGCTAACTGAAAAGTTGGTAGTTTGAATCCATCTAGTGGTGCCTTGGAAGAAAGTCCTGGCAATCTACCTCCATGAGATTATAGCCATTGAAAATCCTATGGAGCACAGCTCTACTCTGACACATATGGGGTCACCATGAATGAAAATTGACTCAATGGTCGTGGGGTATTATTAGCTTCGGTTACCAAATGTCAATTTGGAAATACTTGAGTCAGTTTCTATAATCAAAAAATTTAATCTCAGTAAAGTTTTTTGAACTTGTGATACTTCCAAAGCTATAAAGGAATAATGTTTTGGAAGAGCAAACGGAACAAAATTGTACATGGCGATAAGGTGAACGGTGAAACCTGGGGCGGCTGGAACTCAATGGGACTGCCTTGTTTCTCTGGGTCCCACAAGTTTTCTCCCTTGGCAGAGTGCAGTCTTACTACATTTCTATCTCTCATTTTAGTGCAAAATATTTTAATTTTCCTTCTCTGACAGGTTTCCACCTTACACAAGTTCTACCGCATGCAAGTTGTACTGTATATTTCCTGTGTTTATATATTTATTATGTTTTCCTGCCAATGAAGCTGGTAGTGAAACGATTGACATACTGAAAAGGGTCTCAGTTCAGTTCCTTTTACAGAATAGCCTGTGACACTTTAGCCACCTTCTGTTTCTGAACCAGAGAGGCCCTTGGTAGACTATACTGGTGATTGTTGTTAGCTGCTATTGAGTTGACCCCTGAATCATGGTGTCCCGTGCTGCCCGGCCCTGTGCCAGCCCCACAATCAGCTGTGAATCAGACCAGGTAATCCAGAGGGTTTCCACTGGCTGGTTTCTGAAGTAGAGCCCCAGGCCTTTACTCCTCATCTATGTTAGTCTGGAAGCTCTGCTGGAGCTTGATTAGCATCAGAGCAACAGGCAGGTCTCCATTGACAGATGGGTGGAGGCCATGCATGAGGAGCATTGACTGGAAAAGGAGCCCAGGTCTCCCAGACAAAAAGACCAGAGTCCTCCCACTGGACTACCACTGCCCACATGAGTAAAATGGTTCAAGATCACTGTTAGGACCCTGAGTCCTTCTTTCAGTATTCCTCAAATATCCAAAATACCCAGTTGTCAAAACTTGGTCATGTACCTTCTTTGCCTTGGAAGATCTTTAGCCTCAAATGGAATATATCATGATGATCATTGTTTCTCCTTATCTTTGATGATTTAATTTGACTGTTTTTTTTTTTTTTTAATCTTTCTCATATCTGTATGGATTTGATCTTGATCATCCTCCTCATAGAAAATGCTTACTAAGCAGTTCTTGTCACATAACACAGAATCAGACATGGTAATGAATGGCTGATTAAACTAGAGCTAGGAGAAATTATACATTCCATGTTCATTCTTGTTTTAATTATATACAACAGAGAGCCTGGCATTTAGAGCACAAGAAAACCCTCTTAATAATTACTGTTCCTACCAAGCAGACGTTTAACATATGCTGTGTATTGAGAACCTACTGGGGACATGATGCTTTGCCAAGTGCTGTGTGTGTGTGTGTGTGTGTGCTGGTGTGTGTGTGTGGGGGGTAGTAATAAAGAAATATAAGACTTGCAGTCTACCCTCAAGAGATTTATGACCAAGTGTCTTAGGCTTGGTTCTCTAGAGAAGCAAAACCAATGAAGCTTACAGAGAGAGAGAGGAAGAGAAAAAAAAAAAAAAATTATCTCAGGGAAATGGCTCGTGCAGTTGTAGAGGCTAGCAAGTCCCAAGTTCAGGAGTCAAACATCAAGCTGGAGGCTTCTTGTCACTCATGCAGCTGTAGGGGCTTGATGAACCCAAGACTGGAAGGCAGTATAGCAGGCTGCTGGCTTCGGTGGATGATGAATCCAAGATCAGCAGGTAAAATGACAGACTGTAGGCTAACAGACTGTGAAGGCAACAATGCTAGGATGAGCAGGTAGTACGGCAGCCCACTGATTCAGTTCCAAGGACCAGAGATGATGAGCTAGATGCAGGAATTGAGATGCAGCTTAAAGCCATAGAGTGTTCCCAGGATGTCTATACATATAGTAGAAGCAGGCCACACCCCTGAGGAAACTCCCTTTCAACTGACTGGCTATTCATAGAACATCTCATCATGAAGGTGATTATATCACAATATCTAGCTTATAAGCCTTTGTTTCGTAAATGTTAAAAGGTAGCTAAGACATATAGCTGCCACTGAGTGGACTCCAACTCATGGCGACCTCTGTACAACATCACCTGGTCCTGCATCACTCTCACAATCACCAGCATATTCAAGTCCACTGAGGCAGATATCAGGCCAATCTGTCTCACCAAGCACCTCCCTCACCCTCAGTGGCCCTTCTCTTCCCTTCTATAAAGTTGTCACTTTTCTGGCAATTTTCCTAGTACCTCTAGCAGGGTTATGTGAAAGAAAAGAAACAACAATTAGTTATTTTGGCCACACATTAGAGCTCTAGCTGAATATTTTGCAAAAATATTTTTAAATGTCTGAAATTAGTGTTTTGCCTCATCTGAAGTTTCCACACAGCCATGTTGTGGTCGAAAGAGAGTAGGCTTTCAAACTTGGAATCCATTTTGATCACTACCTCACTGTGTGACCAGTCCAAGTCACTTTCAGAACTTCTCTCTCCTCATCTGCAAGTCTGTTGAGTGAAACCATGTACCTAAGCACCTGGCCCAGAGTACATACTCAACAAGTGTTAATAACCTCTGCATGCAGTAGTGGTGCTCAATACAGCAGGCAGCACTTGGACAGGATAAATTTTAATGCAGATCACAAAGTTTAAAGCCTCTGGCCCAGAGGTTATTGACTGAGATACATGGATTTATTTTCAGAATACTTATTCACATGTGGGTATAGGGATTTTATATATTATTATTTAATAATAATAATATTTATACAAATATATTTATACCTGTGCTGGCTTGGCTGTGTATTCTTGTGAGGGTTGACAATTGCTTTTTAAAAACAACGTATCTGATTATAAAAGAAAAAGTCGGAATGAAGTTGAAAAATTACTGAAAAGAATATACTTACTTACCCATTATTATTGAGTCTATTCCAACTCCCTATGACCCTATAGAACAGAGTAAAACTGTCCCCATAGGATTTCAAAGGGGGCAATCTTTATGGATGGTTTAAAATCAGAAAAAGTATGTGCCAGGGTTGTATCTTTTCAGTATTCTAATTCAATCTGTATGCTGAGCAAATAATCTGAGAAGCTGGACTGTATGAAGAACAGTGTAGCTTCAGGATAAGAGGGAGAATAATTAACAACCTACAGTATGCAGATGACAACACAACCTTGCTTGCACAAAGTGAAGAGGATGTGAAGCACTTACTAATGAGGATCAAAGACTACAGCCTTCAGTATGGATTATACCTCAACACAAAGTAAACAAAAATGAAGTAAACAAAAATCCTCACAACTGGATCAATAATAAATATCATCATAAACAGAGAAGAATTGAAATTGTCAAGGATTTCATTTTACTTGGATCCACAATCAACACCCATGGAAGTAGCAGTTAAGAAATCAAATGACATATTGCACTGGGCAAAACAGCTGCAAAAGACAACTTTAAAGTGTTAAAAAGCAAAGATATCACTTTGAGGACTAAGGTGCCCCTGTCTCAAGCCATGGTATTTTCATTCACCTCATATGCATGCAAATAAGGAAGACCAAAGATGAATTGATACATGTGAGTTATAGAGTTGGCAAGGAATGGTGAATATACTGTGGACTCCCAGAAGAATGAACAAGTTGGTCTTGGAAGAAGTCTAGCCAGAATGCTCCTTTGAAGGGAGGATGGCAAGACTCTGTCTTACTTACTTTGGACATGTTATCAGGTCCCTCCTGATCCTAGAGAAGGATATCACATTTGGTAAAGTAGAGGGTCAGTGAAAAGGAGGAAGACTCTCAAGGAGATAGAATGAATGGTAGCTACAATAATGGGCTCAAACATTGCAAAGATTGTGAGGATAGTGTTTCATTCTGTTGTACATAGGGTTTCTATGAGTCAGAACCAATTCAACAACAACACAGTCTTTACAGAATCAGACTGCCACTTCTGTCTCCCACACAGCAGCTCGTAGGTTCAAACTGCCAACCTTTCAGATGGCAGCTGAGTCCTTAACCACTGCTGGTGGTAAAGAGATATAACCTAGTATCTCATTACTCCAAGACAACCACTATTAAAGTTTTGCGTTAGTTCTTTCCAGTCATGAACATGTGTATGACCAGAGGGAAAACCCATAAATGAATGAAGAAGTAAATGTTATCATATTGTCTTCACTTTTGTACCTTTTTGATTTCTCATTATATAATAAGTATTTTTTTCTGTCACCAAGTACTTCTCAAAGACATGATTCTTAATGGCTACATAATGTAGATATGAAATAATTGAACCGCACTCTTCTGTGCTAGGCATTTAACTTCCCATTTTTTTTTTTTTTTACTATTATAAACAATGCTGTAATTAACATACCTATAAATCTTGGTCTGCATCTCTCATATTTTTTTCTGGAGGATTCTGTATATTAATTGTTGTATAATGCAGGTTGGCACGAGCTTCAGACTTCTGGAATTGCTCGGTGTTCAGAATGTTGGTGCAGCAGATACACTTCTGCGTGGTGCCTGTTAGCTGTCCTGAACGGTTCCACTATGGCATGCTAAGTCTTGCAATTTACTAGCTTCCTTCTTATGTATCAAGAGTCTCTTATGCAATATTAGCTACACCTAAATTTTCTGTTGATATTTCTTTTGTATTGTTTCATG